AGGAGAGAGAGAGAGAGAGGAGAATGGGCCAAAAACGCGACGCGACGCGGCCTCAAATGACTCCCGAGTCGCGCGTGATGCGTGATAGAGAATTTTTTATTGCATCACGTCTCGGCGCCGCGAGACGTCGCGTCGCCGGGTCGGGACAATAATATGGAAACGCCGTGGAACGGCGCGTTTCGTGGAATACACGTTATTTATTCCTACCGCCGACGATATCGCACGCCTCGTGCACGCTTCAGCGGGCGCCGATTTCGACGATTCCGAAAATACAACACGACGGTCGCTCGACCGGCTCGAGCCGCTCGAGCGGCAGGTCGAATATCAAAAAATTTTGATGCCACGTGCGGCGAACGTAGTCTCGCACGAAAACGATATCGGCGTCGACGATGTGGATACGTACAGACACCGAGGCGTCTTTTCCGCCATGTGGAAATGCAGGAGCTTTCGCGGGCCGGCGGTCGTTTCTTGTCAGTGACCGGCGGCTAAGAAAAGCTTTCTGGCTTCGCGCGACGTATATTGGGTGGCGCGATATTTTCGCGAAAGCGACCGACCACACAATACTGTCTGGACTGGACGGAGAGAAACGCCGTGAAACAGAGGAGCACGCACGCAGAAATTTCCTCCCGGTGAAATTTCTACTGGCTCGGATTATACTTCGCCGCTAAACAAACTGGATGGTATTGTTGCGGGAAAGAAAAAAAAAAATAATCGGACTTGGAGTGGAGCCATTGAGCTTCGAAATCGGCGGCATAAGCCAAGACTGATAAGTCATACGTTTTATGGGACGTTTGATACATCGCGTATTTGTAGAAGATAAACATTGCTGCTTTTCGCGTATTTGTAGAAGATAAACATTGCAGTAAAGTCTTGCGTGACAAGCGAGAGGTGATTTAAACGTGATATTTTCAACTTCGATGTAATTGTCCATTTGTTATATTAATATTTAAACTCTCCAACTCTCTGTCAACTGTCGTTGGAGCATTTATTGAATACCCATTATTTTAACTTAATATATGGCCTGCCGTAATGAATCACGATTTTCAAGTTTGTTTGTTAAACGTGGATAAATGGCTTCGTATTTTCCCAAGGAAGCCTAATAAATTTCTCGGACGTAAAATATCAAATTAAGTTGCCTCGGTTCTGAGTTCGCTGAGTGGCGCGCGCTATACTTTCACAAAAAGCGAAAGCCAGATAGAACTCAAAAGCTTCATGCTCAATTAGACGCTCTTCCGCGAGTGGTGCACTTCAGAAACGCGTTAGCGAGGATTGCAAACAACTTGCGCACGGTTCGACTCACTTTTATTGCTACACGTCTAGCAAGGCGCGCCAGCCTCGAAAGATGACTTCCATTCACATTGTAGCGAAATTCTACGCCTAGCTTCGCCTCCGACTCGAAATATACTTCTGGAATTATTCTCGTCACCGCTTCGACGAAGGGGGGGAGGGGGCATTGGGCTCGCTTCCGATATGCATGAAATTACCGTAACCAACCAACCAACGAAGCTTGCCTTTCGGCGAAAGAAACGGAAATGTCGTTACCATTGTCGTCAAAAGTGTGCCGGACTGAATTACCTTCTCGACGATTTTCTCGACTTTTCGAGCGCTGCACCTCCGGAGATTTTGAGTCGCGGGCGGTTTTCTGGTCGAAATGTACGTAGGAAGGACATTGTAAATGGAAATGAGCGAACATACTTGTTCGGTACGATTGCGGGAAAAGGTAAGGATATGCCCAAAAATCCATACTTTTTGATCTTAACATGTTGAATTCTCCGGGTAATGCCTTACCCGCAAAATCAAATATTTATAGAAAAAGAATTTTATGCATAATCTCTCTTTGATTTATATGAAAATAAATCCATAGAAATTACCTGCTGAATAAAAAGTATCTCAATCTTTCTGCCGGTCGAATATATATCTTGAAAGTTCGGATTGTAAATATTCTCTCCGGATTATCACTATTCAATGTGTCTGAAACAAATTATCCAATTGCTGAAACTCTCTCGTGATTTTAAGTTATTTACGAATTTATTCTTATTGCGTGACTACGAAACTCTTTGTTATTTCAGAATTCTATCGTATAAAATTTCCATGAATTTTGGTAATGGAATTGTAATGCAATTGATTTTAGGTAAAATTTCTATTGTGATTAACTCGATTTAATTGAACTTTTCAGATATTATATCCGGAATTATCCAGATATCGGAATTTAGTAATCGAATAATTCAGATATTAAATCAACTAGATATTTACAATCTCGATGCTATTCCTGACATTCTCTCTTGTCAAATAGTTAGGATTATCATCGGATGCTCCTTCGAAAAGTCATAATCAAAAGTGCATAATGTTGTAGTTTGATATCGAGTATTAAGGGTACATTCCGAGGGTTTCCTTGAAGAAGGAGGAAGAACGAAGGCAGTCGCCCTTTGCAATGATAATCTATGCCACAATTTGCAATTACAAGCGGCGAGAATGCCAAGAATGTCAGCCGGTGGGTTTCTATATGGTGCTCTTGCATCATGTATCTCAGTCACATATCACGCATATCAACGTTAATTCTCTCGACGTTGTTTATCGAGCTAGTTTCGAGCCATTAAGAATCATAAAGTCGAGTTGTGCATGCGTATTGCAGATAGGGGTTTCATGAAAAACTGAACCTGCTCTAAAAACGGCGCCAAATACTTAAGAAGAATGAGAAGAAATTTATAAATTAATATTTTTATAATTGAAATAAACATCCTAGCTGTATTATTTATTATTGCAAACAAACATTTTACAAAATATAACTTGTTTAAAGGATATCCTTTTGAATGTCTTTTAAATGTCTAAAAAGCTATAGTGTCCCCAGATGCTTAAATCGACTGAACTAAATTGCAAATAGTTTCACATCGAAAGCGAACGCGTTTAACATTTTTATAAATAAGATTTTTGAAATTTTCATATATAAATATTCAGGTTCATAACTTACAAACATTATTAAATAATAGCAATAATTCAAGGAAAGTATATATTATTTCTCGTGTGATATGAACGCAAAGCTTGTTCGATATCGCTACGATAAGCCCGAGGGGAAGAATATTGCGGAAGGACAAATGTTGTTCGAGGAAACTGGGGAATTTTAATTTATTACATATAGGCATGGAATAAAGATTTTCCCCCTTTTTTTTGTCATAAAATTTCGTTTCGCATCCCGGAATTTTAGTATGCAGATTCGTAGCCCGCAGGTAAATCCCTCCAAATCTTTCGGATCGCACTCACACACTGTGCGATGGGGGGGCATCAATCCCGACGGGGGGGTTGTAAGCCGAGGGAGTGGCGACGATCCGGCGTGAAAATAAAACGATACTCGGCGTGACGCACGTAACGATCTACGCGTATCTCGGGATCTTGATGGATCTGACGCAGCTGATCGCGATAAAGTCGCTAGCGAGGTGGTATAGCAGTCGAGCAGTCGCTGGCAAGAATAAACTTGAAAAAGCGCGAACGTGCGCCCAATGCCAGGGAATGAAGCGCGCATTGGAATCGAGTCAGGGAGGTATGAAAAGGTCAGCCCTCTCGCGTCGTCGTTTCTCATGCGCCGAAAACGCCGCGCATCTCGCACGTACGTAATCCCGCTTCAATTTGTATCGCATTTGCATGACGGTTCCGCTCGTCGCGGTTGAATTACCCCAGGTATCCACCCTCCCCCCCTCCCCCTCGTGGACTGTCTGAGCGCGCGGAACGAGATTACTTCTTCTTTCGTGCGCCACGGGGACACGAAACTCGTGCATAAATTGAACATATATTTCGATCGAATACCCCCCGACATAACGTATAAGGCGCGACAAATCGCCTTTGCACATCAGTTAAACGCGTCTTGAAAATCGTAGCCGTCGCACGAGCGCCGCGTGACCTACATGATTAAGAGGACAGATATAAATTAGCCTGTCAAATTTTAATCAGTTTGTTACCGGTTTGTTTCATGGATTTGGATGAAAGATTGAAATATACAAGAGTAATGCTCCACTGTATTTGGAACGGATCAATCAATTATTTTCCTCTGAAAATGACATCTACATACTTTAAGGGTGAATAATTGAATTTTTATCGGTTTTGTAAGAGCTGCGGTACATTGGCGAACAATTTGCGTCAGTAATTTTAATTAAAATTTTACGAAAATATATCGGGCCATGCGGGCTGATTGAAAAGTACTTGATTATTGAAAATAATCCCTTGGGGACAACTCTAATTAAGTGCCAGTTAGTCGTGAATAATTAGTCGAGTCGCTTCATCCCGATTCCTATTTCAGCAATGAAAGAAGGAAAGGAGAACGCGAAAATTCAATTCTATCGATTTTCTCATCTTCGATTTTCGACACTGGCTTTCAGCTGATATACTTAAACCCACGCAGCGGAAGTTAATCGAAAGCAACTAAATTCCCAGAAGTGCGCTCCATTAGACGATACCCTCGCCATTTCACGATAAAAGATCGCGAACGTTGAAAAATAATGGCGAAATGGCCTCTGTATCGCGTTCTCGCTCGCATTAGTTCGGATAGAAGAACCGTCACGAGGCCATTTGTAATCGAATATAATTTAATAAGCGAAAAAGAAAAAGGCAGAGCTCTCAATCGCGTTGCAAAGTCGATTGGCTTGGACAATTTTACCTCGACTTAATATCTCTTTTAATCCATCCATGGAATTACCTCTCGATTGCGGAATGTCGAACG